GGTGATAAGGAATTGATGGGGGGAGGGGGAACCAACGTCTCACTCAATCGATCTCGCTATCGATCTCACATTCGATCTCATTATCGATATCACGATCGATCTCGCTATCGATATCACTATCGATCTCACAATCGATCTCACAATCGATCTCACATTCGGTCTCACATTCGGTCTCACTGTCGATCTCACAATCGATCTCACAATCGATCGCACAGTCGATCTCACATTCGGTCTCACATTCGGTCTCACGATCGATCTCACTATCGATCTCACAATCGATCTCACTATCGATCCCACATTCGGTTTCACATTCGGTCTCACTATCGATCTCACAATCGATCCCATTATCGATCTCACAGTTGATCTCACTATCGATATCACAATCGATCTCGCAATCGATCTCACATTCGGTCTCACAGTCGAACTCCCAATCGATCTCACAATCGACGTCATCATCATCATAATCATCATCGTCATCATCATCATCATCATCACCATCATCACCATCATCACCATCATTACCATCATCACCATCATCACCATCATCATCTCTTAATCGATCTGACTATCGATCTCACAATCGAGCTCACTATCGATCTCACAATCGATCTCACAATCGACGTCGTCATCATCATCATCATCAACAACACCAACATCATCATCATCATCATCATCATCATCATCATCATCATCATCATCATCATCATCATCATCGCCATCATCACCATCATCATCACCATCACCATCATCATAGTCATCCACATCATCATCGGGACACCGACGGGACACCGACGGGACACCAGCGGGACACCGGCGGGACACCGCGCGCCACCGGCCGCCCGGAAGGGAAACACTTGGTCCGGCCTCGCCTCAGCCGCAGGAGAACCGACGGGACACCAGCGGGACACTGGCGGGACACCGCGCGCCACCGGCCGCCCGGAAGGGAAACATTTGGTCCAGCCGCGCCTCAGCCACAGGAGACTTTCTCTCGCCCGCCCATGCAGCTTCGCCTCGCCCGCACGCACGGCACGCACGAACACGAAACCGAAATCGATTTCCCCGTAGGGGGGCTCTCCGTTCCACTTCGATCTCACCCCCTCACCTCCGACATCCACGCAATGAGAATGGATAGGTGGGAGGCCGGATTCCAGATATTGCGCGAGCGCGCCTAGCTAGCCCTCATCCTCCTCCCTTCTCCCTCCTGCCCTCCCCCCCCGCCCTCCCGACCTTTCTCCTCCTCATCGTTCACCCAGGCGGGGGGGGCAGCCAGGGTGAGAGGGAGGAGGGACGGGGATCAGAGGGAAGGAGGGAAAAAGGGGAACGAGTGGGAGGAGAGGAGGCAAGATGGAGGCGCAGGGATGGAGGAGGAAGGATGGCGAAGAAGTGGGACGGGGAAGGAGGAGGATGAGGGAAGGAGGAGTAGGAGGAGGAGGACGAGGAGGACATCGTGGTCGTCGTCGGTGCGTCGTCGTCGTCGTCGCCGTCGTCTTCGTCGTCGTCCGCGGGTCCCTCCGCCCAGTCGCCTCCAGAGGGGCCCCAGGTGGGGCCAGCCCGTCGCCAGGAGCAGCGCGCCTTCGAGGCCCGGTCTGCGGCGGTGGCCGCTTTCGTGGGCGAGCGCCGCGAGGCCTCGGCCGGGGGGGGGGGGCCCTGGCCGGCGGGGTCATCGCCGCCGTCCTCGTCGCCGTCCCGCTCCTTCGGTCGTCGCCGCGGGAGGCGGGGGTTGGGCAGGGGGCGGGGGGGGAGGGGGTGGGCAAGGGGAGGGGGAGAGTGAAGGGGGGGGGGGTGCTGGCGGGGGTTGGGCAGGGGGAGGAGGCCCCTGAGAGCAGGGCCCGCGCCGCTGGCCCGTCGGGCAGCCGTGCGAGCGCAGAGATCTACGAAGTGGAAACTTAAAAGGGAAGGTTTATTTCAGGAGGATGATGGGGAGGAGGATGAGGATAGGAGAGGAGAGGAGGAGGAGGAGGAGGAGGAGGAGGATGGGATGCGAGTAGGGAAGAGGAGGAGAGGAGAGGAGGTTAGTAGGATGAGGAGGAGGTAGTATGCTGGAGGGAGGGATGGGGAGGGGGAGGGGATGGGGAGGAGAGAGGCGGAAAGATGAGGAGGAGGAGGATTGAGGAGAGGAGAAGGAGGAGGAGGAGGAGACGAGGAGGAGGAAGAGGAGAGGAGAAGAGGAGGGAGGAGAAGGAGGAGAAGGAGGAAAAGAGGAGGAGAGGAGGAGAAGGAGGAGAAGGAGAAGAGGAGGAACGGAGGAAAGAGGAGCAGGAGGAGGGGAGGAGGGGGAGGAGGAGGAGGAGGAGAGGGGAGGAGGAGGAGGAGGAGGAGGATAAGGAGGAGGGGAGGGGGAGGAGGGAGGGAGGAGGGGGGGGATGAGGAGGAGGAGGAGAGGAGAAGGAGGAGGGGGGGGGGGAGGGGGAGGGGGAGGGGGAGGGGAGGGGGAGGAGAAGGAGGAGGGGAGGGAGGAGGATGAGTTTTGGAGGAGGAGAAGGAGGATAGGAAGAGAAGGAGGAGAAGGAGGAAGGGAGGAGAAGGAGGAGAAAGGAGGGAAGAGGAGAGGAGGAAGGAGGAGGGGAGGGGGAGGAGAGGAGGAGGATGATGAGGATGATGAGGAGGAGGATGCGGAGGAGGACCTTGCCGCCTCTCTTACCGCTGACTTTTGCACGCTTGGACACTTCAGACGTTCGTTTTCAGGGCTGTAGGAAGGACACGGAAAAGGAGGGAGAGTAGGAGGGAGGAGTTGCGCCAGCCCGGCCCCAACCCAGGACGACTGAGCCAGAGGTGTACAGGGCGGCCAGCTTCTGTTACTTCGACATGGCACTGCTGCTGGCAGCTCGAGAAAACTAGGGAGCTAATGGGGGCGTCTCCAGTGAGGATCTGCCCGCGGGGGCGTCCAATGCCCTCACGCGCTGCAGGCACCTGTTTCCCCCCTAGTGAGGCGACGGTGCCACAGTTCGCCCAAACATGCAGGTGCTTGCCACACGTTGGCCCACGATGCACCTCAGCCAACCCGCACTGCAGACGACGGGTGCGAAAGATCAGCTACGCTTCGCTTGCTGTGCCAGCCATCCGCCAGGGCGAATGGGCCCCTTGCCCCTTTGAGGGAGCCCTCCCTCACGGGTCCCCCCCCCAGCTTCGCGCTCTTCGGAGGGAGGGAGGGAGGGAGGGAGGGAGGGAGGGAGGGAGGGAGGAGGAGGAGGGGGAGGAGGAGGAGGAGGAGGAAGAGGAGAGGAGGAGGAGGAGGAGGAGGAGGAGGAGGAGGAGACCCTGAAGGACGACGACGACGATTTCTTCCCCCGCCCCATACTCGGGCTTTCAGGGTAAGCCACCACAGGCGCGGCGGGCCCCGAGGGCCTCGCGTCGGCACAGGTTGGCTGCCGCTTGGGTTCTCTCCCGCCGTGCAGCACAGTCATAGGTGCTGATTATGGAAGGTTCGCCTGGTGTCGACGCGGCGGCGACCCCAGCTCGGGCGTTTCAGGTTTCACGCCGCCAATGGTTCGGAATCGGCCAGCGTCGATGCGCTATATCGAAGAGCCGCGATCGTTCAAGGTCGAGCGATCCACGCGGTGTCAGAAGCCAAGGCCGAAGTCGTCACGACACGAACTCGCCGTACCCCAGATGCCGTCCTTCTCCTGTGCTTCTGTGATTTGCTCAGTTCGCTGCTATCCCTCTCCTGGCGTTGGGGCGCCGCCCTTGAGGCTGGCCCACCCTGTTCTTGCCCAGTCGCCGCGAGCACCAGGGCTCGCTTCGGCATCCCTGCCTCTGCATGTCGCGCGCTTGCAGCGACGCGGCCCCTGTCAGCAACCCCCCCGCCGCCAGCGACGACGACGCCGAACACGATAACAGCGACGGCGACGGCGACGACGACGGCGACGACGACGACGGCGACGGCGACGACGACGACGACGACGACGACGACGACCCCGCCGCCGCCCCCGCCGCCGCCACTCCGCCGCCGCTGCCGCCGACAACGGCGACGCGGGGCCGGCAGGCCACCGCCGCCCTGGCGCGGGCCCTGCGCCAGGAGGCTGAGCCTGCAGGCCCTCGCGGCCGTTTCGCCGAGGGCGCTGCCGTGGTCGCCGTCGTGGTCGCCGTCGGCGCCGTCGGCGCCGTCGCCGCTGCCGTCGCCGCGGCCGCCGACTTGGTTGCCGTGGTCGCCGCCGTCGTCGCCGCCGCCGCCGTCGTAGTCAATGTCGTGGTCGCCGAGGTTGCGATGTCGCGGTCGGTATCACCGTCGTCGTCGTCGTCGTCGTTGTCGTCGCCGTCGTTGCCTCCGAGGTCGTCGTCATTGTCGGGGAGGTCGTTGGCGAAGGAGGCCTTACATTCAGGGCCCGTGCGGATCATTGCAAGTTGGGCAGGCTCGAACGCCCCGCCACGTCGGGCTCGCAGTAGGGGGTCGTGGCGATGACCGTCGGCGGCGCGTCAACAGGGACAGGGCGAGGGCGGTTTTCTTAGAAGGCGCCCTGGTTTTTGATAGCCCCCCTGGAGATCACTCAGAAGCCCGAAGCCGTCATCCCATCTGTGTGCCGTCAACGCAGCCCGCCTGGCGACCATCAGCCAGGCCACAGCACGTGCGCTCGAGCGGGCCGTGAGACGGCAGGCGTTTTTTTGTCTGGCAGGGTGCACAACAAAAGCAAACGACAATACAAATTGCGGCGGACTCGCGAGGGTACGGCGCGGCGGCGACGCCAGCGCGTGCGTCCAATCTGGAGCACCCGTTAGGAGCCCTGCTTGGGCTGCGGGCCCCACATAAAGCAAACATCTGCGCGAACTCCATACGAGAGACGGCGTCGACCGCCTCTGGGGATCGTTCGAGATCAGGTTAGGGCCCACCGACAGCCGAGTTCTTCGCAGCTGGTCCCTCTCACTCAGCACGCGCGATCTGCAGGATCTCTCGCGCCGTTCGCCCCGGAGGGGGCGGTGGCCTTTTGCTGCCGCGTCTGCTTCTGCCACTGCTGCCTGTGCTGGCGCCACTGCCGCTGCTCCTCTGGCGTGGCCGTTTGGACGCCAGCTGCGGTGCACTGCGGCGCCTCAATGGCACCGCACCGCCCCTCGCGGCGGGGGTTCGCCGGCCTGCGCCATGGCCTTGCTGGCTCCGGGCTTGGGCCAGGCCAGCTGCGCCCTCCTCGCGGCGTTCGCGCTGGCTGGTCCTCGCACCGCCGCGTTCGCGGGAGCCTCGGACGCGTACCAGTTCGGCGCGGGCTGCGCGAAGGGACCACAGGACGCCAAGCGAGGTGCAGGGAGGGCCCGATTCTGTCACACTCTCGGCGTTTTGCATCGAATGTGTGTTGACTGCTATCGCATCGTGGAGATACGGGGAGAGGTGAAGGGTGGGTGCGCTCGCGTCACATCCGGCCTCCTGCCCACTCCGTCCCATTGCGCCTATAGTTAGAGTGAGGGGGCTGAACGATCATTCAATGTCCCTGGGCGCGTGGCTGAAGTGAGGTTCTGCGTTGAGGGTTGTTTTTATTGTTATTCTTGAATTCTTTTTACCTAACAGCGAAGACTGATAGGTTTCTAGTTGATTCAAAAGAGCTCACAGATCACTCCACAGGGGGGTCCGGGCAGGCGTTGGGAGTTGCCGGGCGGCAGGGGGCCCCGCTCGTTTTCCACCAACAGTCACACACTTCCTGCTCTTCGACTTCCCAGAACTCCATTCCCAGGCCACATTCTGGAGGGCCGGATGCAACAGTCACACACTTCGTGCTCTTCGAGATCCCAGAACGCCATTCCCGGGCCACCTTTAGAATAACCGGATGCAACAGTCACACACTTCGTGCTCTTCGAGTTCCCAGAACGCCATTCCCGGGCCACATTTAGAATAACCGGATGCAACAGTCACACACTTCGTGCTCTTCGAGTTCCCAGAACGCCATTCCCGGGCCACATTTAGAATAACCGGATGCAACAGTCACACACTTCGTGCTCTTCGAGATCCCAGAACGCCATTCCCGGGCCACATTTAGAATAACCGGATGCAACAGTCACACACTTCGTGCTCTTCGAGTTCCCAGAACGCCATTCCCGGGCCACATTCGGAATAGCCGGACGCAACAGTCATACAATTCCTCGTACTTGACACCCCAGAACCTCATTCCCAGGCCACATTCGGAATAACAGGATGCAAGAGTCACACACTTCGTGCTCCGAGACCTCCCAGAACGCCGGGTTATCTTGCTGTCTGGAACGGCAATCCCGGGATACACTCAGAGTAATCCCACGCGACAGTCACACACTTTGTGCTCTGTGACCTCTCAGAACTTCATATCTGGGCGACACTCCTGGGCAACACTCGTTCTCTCACTATCATGCAACACTCATACACAGTGTCCTTGTCGACCTGTCACATCTCAACTTTCAATTCCTTGACACAACCGTCACACACACACTGATTTCTCTGAGTTTTCACTAGGTTAGTCTCGGGTCACATTTTATATTCCTTCCGCGACAGCCGTGCTTGGTTCAGGAGTTGCTAGTGACACTGCAGTCCATTTTACTCAACGTGCCTCGTCACTCGAGTTTCGATTGCAATGGCGTTCCCCTGGCCGTACCGCTATATGGAACGTTCATCCGCAGCCTCTGCTCCGCGAGGCTCGTCCGAAGTGTCGCCGCCTCGCGGTGCTTCTCAGCCTGCGGAGGAAGGTCGACAGACGCCTGGTCCTGGCGCTCTGCAGCCTGCGTCTTTCACGGTCGCCTCCTTCAATTTCGGGTTCGAGCAGGGCATGATGACTGGTAAGCAGGCGGCCACTCACTGCGCTAACTTCGGAAGGGTGTGCGCCACGATAGTGGAGACCGCTGATGCTGATATTGTCTGTGCTGCGAGGTCGGTGCGTTCCGTGAAGGCTTTCGCCGAGCAGGGATCAACGTGACAGAGATCCTCAGTAAGCCTTTCGGTGATGGCATTGGCTTCTCGGAGGTCGACAACTACTTGACTCTCTGGGGCTTCCGCGGTGCTTCTCAGCCTGCGGAAGTGACTCCGTGCGAAGACAGCCAAGTTTACAGGCCTCTTAGCGGGCGAGAGATTGATGCTGTCATTTCACATTTTGAAGTGAACAAACCAGGCCATGACAAGTTCTACGTGGTGATCGCCAACATACACATCGTCTCTTACTTCGGCGAGCAGGGGTACCTCGGCAAAGCGCAGTCCAACCACGCCGCACACAACCTCGGCCCGCGCGGCAGGACCATGCATTCCTCCAATGGCCTGCTCATGTCGGATTCCATGCAGACAGCCAGGCTGCGCTTGACGCCACAGACGCAGAAAAAGCTGGATCGCCTCACAGGCACACTCGGCGTCGACGTGATCGATGAGCTGGGTGCTGTGCCGGGGCCTTTGCTGCATGCAGATGCACTGCGCACGACCTACGGCAGGGCGTTGCGCTACAACCTGGACCCCACGAAGTACATGCGCCCGCAGGAGACGTGGGGACGCATGCCTGTGAAGATCTTGTGCGGGGACTTCTACCAGTTGCCGCCAGTCCCCGCCACCGCTTCCCTGCTGGCGCCTCACGCGGGCCAATCCTACGAACACCAACAGGGTAGGAAGTTGCTCGCCGACATCGAGTGCGTCATCGATTTCGCGCAGATGCAACGCTTTACGGACCCGTTGCAAGTCGAGGTTCTCCACGCTATGCGAACTCCAGGCGGGAAAAAGATCTCTGACGACAGCTGGCAGGCGATCGTCAAAACAGAAATCGTTAGCTCTGGTGGTGCTGCTCAGCCTGCTGCCAGCAACAGCGCAGCCGATCAGCCACTTCAATGGGATCCTCGGTTGCGTGCAGCGAGAGGCTGGTACGAGTCGGCCTATGAGTGGCGCATCGTCTCTTACGCCATGCATGCACAGGCGAAGCTTGATGCGCACGATGCTGGCCAGCTGCTCTTTTACGTCCCAGCAATCGACAGACCAGCTGCGCGCCTCGCGAAGCCTGATTTCGACGAGATGCGCGCGGAGCCCAACATCGGCGCTACCGCAAAAATGCCAGGGCTGCTGCCGCTCTCCATTGGCATGGAAGTCATCCTGACGGAATCCGTCCTGCCGCCGAAGTATGTCCGCGGTGCGCCAGGCAAAGTGGTAGGCATAGAGCTGCACGCTCTGGAGCCTCCGCTGGAGGGCCGGCCGTCCATTGTATCGGACGGTGTGGTCGTACTCTACTACATGCCAAAGGCTGTGTATGTCAAGATCGATGACAGCGATGAACTCTTCTTGAAGGCCGCGAAGGTAACAGCTGGCAGTGCTTCTCAGTCTGCCGGCCCTGACCTGCGCGGAGTGCTCGCGATCACACCGCAGGCGCGCCCGTGGAAGTTCAAGGCGAAGACAGGTGGCCCGGCCATCGCGGTGTCCAGGACGCAGTTGCCCGTGTTGCCCAAGAAGCAGGGGACTCTGCATGGCGTCCAGGGCAAGACGGCGGATCCAGGCTTCATCGTCCACTGGGCGTTTCCGCCCGGGCTGAAGAAGGAGTCCATTTGGCTTGCCTACTACGTCAGCCTGTCGCGCCCCAGAAGCTTCAAACAACTCTTGAGCCACGGCTTGCCTGACAGGAGCATCATCGAAGGCGGTCCTCCCGAACAAATCGCCAAGGCTTTCGCCGAGCTCTTCGCGGACAAGATTGCCGCGACGAAGATCGCTTGCGCGAAAGCTCGACAAGACTTAGCCTGGCCTGCGCGAGCCTGAGGAACCGTGAGTTGCAGCATGATGACCCGGCCAGTTTGGTGCGTCACAGCCTGCTCTCGCGCGGTGTTTCTCAGCCTGCCGCTTTCTGTATGCTAGCCTTAACTTCAGCCTCCACTTGCGCGGCCGCGGTGCTTCTCAGCCTGCGACTCTTTGCGGTGCTTCTCAGTCTGCAGCCGGTTGTCGCGTTGTGCTTCTCGTCCTGCGCTTCCTGTGTGCTAGCCTTAGCTTCAGTCTCCAATTGCGCGGTCGCGGTGCTTCTCAGCCTGCGACTCTTTGCGAGGCCTCTCAGCCTGCAGCCGGTTGTTCGCTTCAGATGCCGACTGTACCTGTGCGCAAGAAGATGCAAGCATCCCCGTCTGCTGCGCAAACGATGATAGACATGAGCGCTTCCAAAACAAAATCACAAGATAAGCACACACTGATGCATACAGGCCGTCCTCGCTTTCATCGACATACATCGTTTGAGATTCCATGCGTTCATAGCAGAGTGTCGTTTGGATACACATCCATTCAAGTTCCCAGCGTTGATAGCAGTGTCTCGTTTGGACGGACATCCATTCAAGGTCGGTGCGTTGATAGCAGTGTCTCGTTTGGAGAAACATACTTTCAAGCTCCATGCGTTGATAGCAATGTCTCCTTTGAACAAGCATCCATTCATTTTCCACGCGTTGATAGCAGTGTCTCGTTTGGACATATATCTATTCCAGCTCCGTGCGTTGATAGCAGTGTCTCGTTTATACATGTAGTCATTCAAGCGACATGCGTCCATGGCAGTACCTTGTTTGACAACACATGGAATCAATCTCAGCGCGACGATGACAACAGCTTTTGCATCACTATTACTGTTACTGTTGGTTTCACAGTGCCTCGCACTGCTGCTGCATGTTTCAGTTATACTTAGACACATCGCTGTTAGGTTGCTTTGCCGGGATAATTTTACCTAACATCGTAGATTGATAGGTTTCTAATGGGCTAAAAAGAGAGCAGCACATTACTTCAACATTACTTCAACATTACTCCACAGGGGGGTCTGGGCAGCCGTTGGGGGCAGTTGGGTGGCAGTTGGGGGGCTGTTGGGGGTTTGCCGGCGGGGATCGTTTTTCGCATACAGTCACACACTTCGTGCCCACTTCGTGCTCTTCGATTTCCCAGAACTCCATTCCCGGGCCAAATTTTGGATGCCCTGAGCCAACTGTAGGCCACTTCGTGCTCTTCCATTTCCCAGAACTCCATTCCCGGGCCACATTTTGGATGCCCGGAGCCAACTGTAGGCCACTTCGTGCTCTTCGATTTCCCAGAACTCCATTCCCGGGCCACATTTTGGATGCCCGGAGCCAACTGTAGGCCACTTCGTGCTCTTCTATTTCCCAGAACTCCATTCCCGGGCCACATTTTGGATGCCCGGAGCCAACTGTAGGCCACTTCGTGCTTTTCGATTTCCCAGAACTCCATTCCCGGGCCACATTTTGGATGCCTGGAGCCAACTGTAGGCCACTTCGTGCTCTTCGAGTTCCCAGAACTCCATTCCCGGGCCACATTTTGAATGCCCG